AAAAAAAAAAAAAAGAATACTATTTAGACATGGAGAGATGAATGCAAAAGAAAGTGCTAAAATAATTAAAAGAGATTGGCTGTGTAGCATGGGATGCAGTGGGAGACAAAACTATTTTTTAAGCCCTTTTAAGAACCATTTAATTATTTAAACTATATTCAGGAATTACTTTGACAAAGCCAAAAGATAATTTTAAAGCAAGTGAGCAGAACTCACCAAGACCCCAAGGAGCTGTGCTCAAGCTCTTCTGGGCGTCTGGGGTCACTGGGCTCATGTCCTGCTGCCCAGAGCCACCACAGATGCCCGCAGTCTGAACTGGAGGTCCAGCATGGCCATCGCCCTCCATCCTTGCTTCTCTTCCTGGGTCTTCATACTAGGATCCCATCTCAGGTGGTCCCTCACCCTGGGGATTAATGTTACCCTTTTTCCTTCCCCCTTCTCCTCCCCTCAGGCCAAGGAGCAGTGGGCAGAAGGGAGTAGCCCTCACCTTGCTCCAGCCCTTCCTCAGCCTCAAGTCCGTGTCCCCAGGTCCGTGCCCCTAACTGTGCACGCATCGCTGCCTGCCAGGCAGCCTCAGCTAACTCAGGCCAACGCTGCCCAAGAGGATGCTGACACCAAAGTGCTACTTCCCTGGCCCAGTGTATACACCCCCAAGGACTCACCAAGCACCACTAAGCACTGCTGAATGGTAGCAGGCAGATGCCCATCCCAAACTCCACCCTCCTAAGATTTGGAAGCCATGTCACTTTGCTAGAGAGAACAGCCAAAGTAGAATATGGAGGTCCCACACCAGAGAGTTTTCAATCAAGCTTTTAATGAAAAGATCATAAAATAACAGTTTCTCATCGCTGTACATTAAGACTGCACACTTCTGAATGGAGAGATCAGTCGTTGGTGAATTGCTTTTCTATGACACTGGGCGGCTGCATAGCTGCAGCGCTGACCTGAATTTATACAAACTCTCAAGGGATGTGAACTCAATGTGACGAGTGACAGCGGCGGTGGCCAGTACAGGAGTGCGATCCTGGTGTCCCTCCCCCTTTCTGGGAAGGGCATAAAATAGAACATGATCCCTCTTCCAGTTCCAATTAAACAAAACACTTATAACCCCATCCCTCCCCCCTCCCCATTCGAGGTATTTGTAAGTAATGAGCCAGTGCCCAACCTGGGGCCCCCAGGGTGGGGGCGGAGGGAAACTAGTGATGGGTGGGGTAGAGAGGCTCCCCTCAGCACCTGGCCCCACAGGGCCCGCCAAGTGGAGGGGGGGAGCCCTGGGGATCCTCCCTGCCCCAGTGAGGTCTGTTATGCAGCATTTTTGAGGTCAATAAATTACAGCAATAAATAGCAAGGTGAGGTAAGGGGAGGGGGTCCTTGTAGAAAGTTAAAGTGGGGTGACTGAAGCTGGGGCATCCTAGGAAGGGGGTCCTGGGCAGCCTCAGTTCCCACAGCTCATGCCCACCCCGGCGTGGAATGTCAGACAGGGTCAGGTTAGGTCCCTCCCCAGCCCCTCACCCCTGGCATCTGATTCACAGGTTCAGTAACATCTGCCCCAATGGGGTTCTGGGAAACAGGAGGACCTTGGTCCCTTCAGCGGGCATGGCAGGGCTGAGAGCCCTTGTCTGCTCTAAGGCCTCGCCTTTGGCTTTTGTCCCCCACACCTGGGGGTGGACGGATGCAGCCTCCTGCTCCCCGAGCCCTGCCCTCCAGCTGCCCAGGCCTCACCCCAACTCAGGATGGCCGGGAAGGAGGGCAGGGGATTGGCCTGCCCAGTGACCCAGCTCAGATCGCACTCCTGCATGGCGCCCGAGGTCCAGTGAATACTGACAGGTTGGGGGAGTGGGTGGGCGGCCCGGCACCCCCGAGTGGTGACGAACGGGAAACACACGCAGCTGCGTGAGGTGGGGAAGGTCGGGGAGGGTCCGGATTGTTCATTTCACAGGCTGAGGTGTATGGCTATGCTGCGAGTCTCTGAGATTATTTGCTTAAAGGTTCATCTTTTCCTTTTTTTTTTTTTTTTTTTTTTTTTTTTTTTTTTCTTTCCTGGAGGAGCCCTTGCTGGGGCTCGGTCCGGCGGGAGTGTGCAGTGGCGGAGCCTGACCTGCCACCTGCTCACTCGCCCCAAGTCTGAGAAATAAATACATTCATCACTGCACGAACATATTGATACAAAAACAACACTGTTAAGAGTGTTTGCACCGTCTATGTTGGTAAGGACCAGGCCCAGTCAGCCCTTTCTGCTGCTTCGGGTGGGGTTAGGGGGTCGCCACGAATGGGGACCCACCAGAGTTGCCTGGGCTGTGCAAAGGTCCCGGCTTTTTGGCTTGAGTGGGACCCTCACATCAACCCATCCCCGAGGGTCATGGGCAGAGTAGCAGGGGGACTCAAGCCCAGTCTCGGGTCCTGTGGCCAGAGCTGATGGCCACCCCCACATAGGCCAGCTGGTCAGGACCAGCATGGTCCAGGTCAGAGGGCCTTGGGGGCTGGTCAGCACTGGCCCAAGCTCTTTGGTGCCAGCTGGGCTTGGAGGGGCCCTGAGAATGGGGAGGAGGGCTCAGGTGAATCCAGGGAGGTTTCCAGTCCCTTCCCCAGCCCCAGGGCTGCCCCGCTCTGCCCGTGAACCACTCCAGGGCCAACTGAGAAGGGCTTCCAGCAGCAGGCGAGGGTTCCCTGGACTGGCCTTACAGCTGCTGAGGTCTGAAACTGTAAGAGCTTATGTAAACAATGAGATAAATATATTAGTAACTTTTGTCTGAGCCCATGGAGGTTCCATACTCATTCAAAATGTGCTTTGGTTTAAAAAATAGGCTTTGTGAATTTGGGTATGAGCTTATCTTTTTTTCTTTTTTCTTTGTTTATCCTCTTTCCTACATGGTATCTGCTGTTTTCTGTTTCCTGTTTCTCCGAAACATTTAGGAATTAAGTGACAAGCGCAGAGAGCTGTAAGCCACCTTGGCCTCCAATAACCCAGTTTCTTTGTGAGGCTCTTAACATCACACACACACACACTCGCACACACCCAACGTGGAAATCAAAGGAAAAAGAAAACAAAGCCAAATGTTGTGTTAATCCCGCCCCGCCCCACAAACCCTTAAAGTCTTAAATAGGAAACTAGTGTTCTGCTTTCTCATTAAAATACAGAAAAGGCTCCATACAATACTAAGGTGGGTACAATACTATGTCGCACAAACGTAGTTGAGTGAGGGGCCTCTGCTCCCAGTCCCTGAAGTTCTGCAAAGGAATCACCTACTTTCATGAGTCACGTCACAGATGCAGCTGCCCACAGCCCCAGAGGCCACGCACATGGCCCCGGGCGCGTGCAGTTCCCGTGCGGTACAGACTTTGTGTCGTGTGGCTTAAGTGCTGACAGGGTGGGGTGGGGTCAGGACAACAAGGGGAGCCCCCTCACTGAGGAGGGGCGGAGTCCAGGAGTCTCCTCCCCTCAAGGTCCCCAGCCTGACTTGCTGGAATCTAAGACCCTGGGTCCACTTCTCTGCTTCCCACCAGGAGGGAAGAGGGCCCTTCTCAGGCTGGGATCGCCACAGGGAGGGCTCAGCCAGAAGCCTCATCCGCCCAAGCTCCCTCACCCCCAAAACACACTGCTCACCACTCGGGTCCCTGAACTCAGGCTCTGTTTTCAGTTGGAGGGTCTCTGGAGGGGTGGGGGGTAGGGGATGACTCTGGAATTTTTTTGGTCTAAACTTAAAATAGAGGAGAGAGAGAGGAAAAAAAAGGGGAAGTCGTGAAGCGAGATGAAGCCTGCAGGCCCAGCCCCACTGCTCCAGTTGGCCGAAGACAGTGGGACTGTGCTGTGGCCTTGAGAGCCCACTATGGGGCTCATGGAAGTGTCTGAGGCTGGTTGAGGAGCCCTAGACAGTGTCTGCTCAGAGAAGTACAATCCCTGTTCTCTGGGGGGGGTCCTAAGGTCAGCTCTTACAAGCTCAACTCTTGCAGGAATGGAGGGAGGAGGTGGCAGGACGAAGAGGGCTCACCTCCGCCTCAGCCTGGCCAGGAGCTGCAAAGACCTGCCACCCTCCTCATGGTTCCCCTGTCAGCACCCAGTGCCTGGCTCCACGTTGGGGCCTCACACCTCACCCACACCAGAAACAGGTTCATGTGCCCAGGGTGCCAGGGTCCCCTGGGGGTGGATGTGGCCCAAGGCCCAAAGGGGAAACACAGGTGAGCTGCAGGGCCCAGTCACTGGGCCACTCGGAGCCCTGTGACTCCTGCACCGACTTCCTGGTTGTTAGGAGGAGAAAGCAGGGATGCCAAGGGCTTCCATGCCAGTCACCAACATATTGTTGTCATGAATTCAAGAGGTAGCAACAAGTCACAAGTCTCCACCTTGTTCAGTGAGGAAGGAGGGAAAGCGAAACGTCTGCCCACGCGTACGGCACACACCACACACAGACACACAGGCACACGCGCGCACACACAAATGAAAACGAGAGTACCAATGGCCCCGGCATCGAGTCCAGCCTCCCCCCACCCCCCGGAACCCCAGACCTTCCAGTTCAGTCACATAAACGTTACACTGGTTTTTCTCTTAATAAAAAACAAGTACCTCTAAACAAAGAATAATCCTTGGAAACTACAGGAAAAGCACTCTCCTGAGGCAGCCGAGGCAGGGCTCAGGGACCAGGGAAGCCTTTGGGAAAGAAGGGCTTCTGAGGCCTGGAGCGGTGGCACGCTGACACCCCTGCAGCGTCAGAGCCAGGGACGCGCAGGAGGGCCAGTGGCCCCTGTTACATTCAGTCTTCAGACCCAGGCTCAGCCCCAGAGGGGCTGGGAAGAAAATAAGCTATTGTTTGTTTTGGTTTAAAAAACAAAAAGAAAAAAGAAAAATAGAGGAACAGATCAGTAGGAATAACAGCAACACAGGCCCAGAGGGCTCTTTAGTTGTAGAGAGGTAGGCGGTGGGGTCACCCTGACTGTCCCAGCGCCAGTGAGCAGTGCCACCCTGGCTCAAGGAGGGAGGGATCTGCACCCCCAGCACCTGTTCCCTGCAGAACCAGGGCCGTACATGCCCACACAGACACAAGCACACGTGCACACACACAGACGCGGCTAACGGGGTGGGGCCTGCTCCCAACAACACCTTGGCCATCACCAGCATGGAGGCCCCCACTGCCCCCTTTCTCCAAGTCGCCTGCAGCAAAGGGACCAGGTCCCAGCGAGACCCACGTGACCCAGCCCACAGGCCCTGCGGTGGTCCCCGCGGGGAGCTGGGGACCTGGGTGAGATGGGGAGGTAGACGGGCTGGGACCCCTGGCTTCCCTCCTGTCGGCTCTGCTTGGTACAGACTGTCGATTAAAGCTCTGGGTGTGGGCAAGCGGGGGCCAGAGGGGCCACCCGGAGCCTCCACTGGACCCAGGGTCTTGCCCCTGCCGCTGCACCACCACGTTTCTCCTTCCATGGGTTCCCGGGGAGCAAGGTGGCAGAGGGCGCCCGCGGGTCTTTGGCTTCTAGGAGGGGGAAGTGTGCATTCGCAGGTGGCTGATGAGGTTGCGCTGCTGGGTGAACTTGCCCCCGCACAGCTGGCACTCATAGGGCTTCTCACCTGAGTGCACACGCATGTGCTCAGTGAGGCGGTACTGGCGGGTGAAGCGCATGCCACACTCATCGCAGGCAAAGGGCTTCAGGCCCAGGTGGCTCCGCATGTGACGCGTCATGGTGCCACGCTGCGTGAACATCTTGCCGCAGATGTTGCAGGGGAAGGGCCGCGTCAGCCAGTGCGTCTTCTCGTGCTGTCGCAGAGTGGCCGGGTCCTTGTAGGTCTTCTCGCAGACCGAACACTTGAAGGGCCGGGGCTCAGCTGCATAAGCCGCGCTGGGCGCCGACAGGTCCTCGGCCTCCTCCTCGGCGCCCCCACTGCCTGTCTCATAGGCCCCCTCTTCCTTGATGAACAGCTCTTCCTCTGTGTGCGTCTCCACGTGCGCGTTGAGCTGCTCGGAGCTGGGGAAGCCCTTGGCGCAGGGGATGCACACATACAGGTTGTCCCCATAGGACACCGTCTCGTAGCCTTCCTGCCGGTACACGTAGTGGGCGCTGGCATGGCCACTGCCCCCCTCACTCCCACTCTGCGCGCTATCTTCACTTGCGTCCTTGCCATTCTCCTCCTCCTCCTTGCAGGAGTAGGGGGGCTCTCCATAGGGCCCACTAGGGCCAGCCCCACCAGCCAGGATGCCATTGGGAACCCTGTCCCCAACCCCCTCGCCCTCCTCTCCCGGGCAGGGACCCTTGGGTCCCACTTCTCTCCGCTCAAAAGGGGAGCCAGCCACAGGTTCCTTCTTGCCCCACTCCTTCTTCCGAGTGGAGTGTCGGAGGCTCTTCCGAGGCTGCCCGCCAGGCACCTCCAGCAGGCTCAGGTGGTTGTCCTCAGCTCCCTCCAGATCCATGGGCTCATCGGGGGTGCCCCCCAGCTCAGAGTAAGAGGCACTGTTGGCAACAGGAGGGGCAGAGGCCGAAGGGGGCGAGCCGTGTTGGCTGTCGCTCAGCTGGGCTGGGTCATCGGGAGTGAGGTGGGGACCGGGGGTGGCAGGGGGCAGGGGTGGGCTTTTCTTGGACAAGTCCAAGCCCAGCTCCTGCTCACAGCCCCCACTGCTCCCATTGGTGCTGCTGCTGCAGCCCCCGAGGCCTGTCTCTCCACCAGCTGGGCAGATGGCCCGGCCCAAACCTTGCACACTTTCCTGGTTAGAACCACCAAGAAAGAGCTCATCGTCTGAGCCTTTGGCTTGGGGGAGCTCCTGGGGGGCGTGGGCCCCCTTACGCCCATCCACAAGCCCCTGATAACGAGCCTGGATGACAGAGGCCGTGGACAGCCGCTGGCTGCGGGGGGGCCGCCCCATGCCGGTGGCCCCTGCCCTCCCAGAGCCAAAGGGCTTGCCGGCTCTCTTGAGTTTGCGACGGCAGAGGGCTGCCAACTCGGGCAGCTGGAGGTAGCTGGCGGCAGTGAGAAGGGTGCTAAAGTTGGGCTCAGCTGGCTGGTCACTGGGCAGCAGCTTGCCTGTGTAGATGAAGTCCAGGATCTGCTGGAACACCGTGGAGCTGACCATGTCTGTGTCCAGGTTGATGAGGTTGTCGTGCAGGACCAGGGACTTGAAGTAGATGCTGCTGGCGGCCAGGACATTCTTGTGAGCCCGGAAGATGGAGTTCTCCACCATGATGATGACATCACACAGGAAGCCCTTGGTCCTCTGCTGATTCAGCTGCAGCAGGAGCTGCTTCGAGTGGCTGGGCAGCTCCATGTCGGGCCCCATGTCCCCTCGCCCTGCCCACGCGTACCACCTGTGGGCAAGAACAGGCATGCACGCATCAGATAAGTGGGACACTCGAACAAGGGCTCTGGGACAGGGTGGAGCTCAATAAGGCACTCAAAGGACCTCAGCACTGACCCCACACAGGGCTGCAGCCCCTGGGGCACAGTACATGGCACATGAGCTCACACTGCCCATTGCATGCCGGTATATGTGTCACCTCACTGAGAACTCAAACTGCCTCAGAAGGGACAGAGGCTCCTGTCCCATTTGCACTGATGAGAAAATGAGGTGGAGGCAATGAGGCAACAAACAGAGAAACTGGGATTTGCATTTAGTTTCACAGCCTAGGCTACTGTCTCTATACTATATGAAGTCCATCACATACCCTCAGGGACAGAAAGGGATCAAAAAAAAAAGAGCAAGTGTTTTTACACTTCAGGATGCAGAGGCCTCCCTGAGAGGGGCCTATCTTGAAAGCTGACAAAACCAGGCCCATGGGGATGCTGAAATCCCCCAAAACTAAATGGTGGTTCCTTCTGAAACACAGCAGGGCCCAAATCAAACTGCCAGCGGCCTTTGGTATGCAGCCTCGACTCTGTGGTTGCGCCTCCCAAGCCACACGAGGCCACCCAGGTTTCACCAGAAGTCATGTTGCTTGCCTCCCAGATGCTGCAGTTGGCCTGCAGCCCCGCCTCTCCCCAAGGCCCTCAGCCTCACCAGGGCCACCTTGGACTCCTGGGCGGGCGCCAGCGCTGCCCCAACCTGAGCTTCCAGGTGCCAAGGAGGAAAGGTAGCCTGGGCCAAGCACCTGGCACCACCTGAACCCACCGTCCTCGCTAGGAAGGGCAGTGCCATCTGGGCCTAGGAAAGGTGGCCAGCTGGCCTCTGCCACACAGACGGGCACAGGTGCTGAGGTCAGTAAGTAAGAAACATACCGGCACTGCTGGTCTCTGCAGGAACCCTGCCAGCCCAGGTATGTTTCTGCTTGTGCAGCAGCGAGACATGGGTTTCCGAGAGCGGGTGCTCCTAACCATGCTTCCAACCCCACTGAGCACCCTCCTCTGCCAAGGACCAGGCACGCCACAATGGGGGTGCAGGGGCAGGGCACACAAGTACACAGCGGGCACCAGATGGACCCTAGGGGAGGAGGGAAATGTCCCTCCAAGGAAAGAGGCAAGGACGTGGCCGGCAGTGCACAGAATGACTAAAATGTTTTGAATGACTCAAAGCTGTCCTCAGCCCTAAGCACAACTCCTCACAGCACCGACAGCTCCATCCTCTTACCCCTACCAGACCCCTCAGAGAATGGATCGGCAGAGGAGGGTGCTGGGGAACGCATGCCAGTGTCCAGGTGGCCACCTATGCCCCAGACAGGCCCACAGGCTTCCATAGGGCAGGAGGCTAGCAGAGACAGGAACTTTCCTCACTGACTCATAGCTGCGGGACAACTGAGCAACAGGGCCCACAGGCAACTCTAAACCTCACACACAGTTCAGGGTCCAGTCTCTCAACAGCTGAACTGCTCTGAGCCTGTCACCCCCTGGGATCTACTGCCCCTTGCAGAGTGTCCAGCCCTGCCTCCTGAACAGAGCCCTGGAAGAGGGTCCCATCCTACCCAATCTTCCCATGACAGAAACTCTCCCCAGTCCCATGCCTGCCCTTGTTTGCAAAGACAAAGGGAAACCCTAACATTCAAAGGTGCCAGAGCTCAATGTGAACACGAGGGTGCAACACTGCCTGAGACGCTGCTGGTACTCAGAGCCTAATGGCAAGAGGCAGCAAGCACCTGCCAGTGGCTGTGCCTAGCAGTCCAGCCCACAGCAGCTAAGGAGGGTGCTCACGGGCTGCTGACTTCATGAACCAATCCTCTTCCACTCCCTGCCCCCTCAACCCACCACACAGGGACAAAGAGCCCACGGTGTGGCTTCCACACTGGGCCCCAGTAACCCAGCCCCCAGAAAATGTCCGTGCCAGTTCTGCCAGTGCCCAGACACCTACCCCAAGACTGGCGAAGGGACTGGCAGAGGGCAGTGGCTCCTAGGCTCTCTCCACACTGCCCAGTGCTGTGTGGACACAAAGGACCATGGGTCAGAGAGGGAGAGAGGCTGAGAGCTATGGGGCTGTGCACCACCTAGAAAGCTCTGGGAGCAGGGGCCAGTAGTGGTCCTCCCTCCCCTGCGCCTCACCGGAGTGCCTGGGGCCCAGACACCATGTGAGCAGCAGCCAGCGGGGAGGGGCCTCCTGAGCGCGTGGCCTTCCTGGGGGTGCATCAATGCCTGGTCACCTGGGGAAGAGAAGACGGACACGGTCACCTGGACAGCCATCAGCAAGGAAGGGAGGGAAGGGCAATGAAGGGAAACACCCGAGGCCTCTGGCTGGGGCACCAGGGGCAGCCCAGCAGGAGACAGTGGTAGGAGAGCCTGGCAGTTGGATCTGATGGCCAGGAAGAGTAAGTACGAGGGGAACAGGTCTAGGGAGTTCAGAGGGTGTGATACCTCCCCCCACTAACACACACAGATTAAGGACACACCGCAGGGGCCACCTAGGCCAGGGGGCCCTGGTGGCAGACACAATTCCTGGCCTGCGGGTGTGGTGGCAGGAGGCCTGGGCAAGGCCCTTCCCAGCCTGGCCACATTTACATAACAAAAGGTCAAAATTGGAGCCACTTGTGCAAGGGCTATTTATAAGAACCAGTCTCAACCGCTTCTGGCTCCCCTGCTCCTTCCCTTCCCGATCTGCTCTCAACTCCTCCCTGCCCAGAGGGCCCAGCCCCCCCAGCAGACCACATGGCCTTCCCTCTCTGGAGGTTTCGCTGCCTAAGGGCTCGCCCAAGCTGCAGGCCTGGACTTTCAATAATGGCCCGCCAAAGCCTTGGGCAGCTGCTGCCAGGAGAGGGCGGGCGGGCTCCCTCCCACCCCCAGGGCTCTAGGTCCTACGGGAGGGGGGATCCTGAGGTGGTGGGTCCTTGTACCCCACACCTGCCAGCCTGGGCCCCCACGGAATGGAGCCAGGGTCGTGGAGGGGGCGTGCAGCAGCCCATCCCTGCCTGCCCTTCCCCCACTCCACCCCCAGGGCCAGGGAGGCTCAGCAGGTCCCTCAGGAATGTGACCAGACCCGGGGTGCCGGCACAGAGCTGGGAGGCCTAGGCTGCGGCGGACCAGCTGTCTCTCCAGCCCCTAGGCAGCTCCCCTCTGGGTGGGGGGTGTGAGGGGAGGGGTGAATGGCTGGTCCAGGACCCCACCAAAGGCCCAGAGGGCAGCAGAATCAGCTCTGTTGGCAGGAAGCCCAAGAACGTCCACAGTTAGCAAGGGTTGGGCCCAGTGAGCTAACTGGGCCGAGGCCAGTCTTGGGCAGTGGGGGCAGGGGAGCAGGAGCCACTGAAACACTGGTGGGAGCAGTCAAAAAACTGGATAGAGACTCTGGGTGGCACACTGGAGATAATCAAACACCACCATCCAGCCCTATACCACCTCATCTGCTCCCCAACCACTGCCCCTCACGACCTTGGTCAACCAGAGCACTGCTGGGCAGAGCACCTGCCAAACTTTGCAACAAGGGGTCACCTGACCTTGCCAGAGGTGAGGCCAGCTACTGGATGCCACGCAGAGAATGGGTGGAGAATAAGACTGGGGGGCACCTGAGTGAGGGTGGGAACACCCTCGCCAGTGCCCACTGCCTGGTCCTGACAGGCACTTCAGCACAGGCTAGGACCAGGTCTCCCCACCAAGGAAGGATGGCCCCAGGCTGGGTCAGCCATGACACAGGACAGGGCAGGGCTCCTCCCTGCACCCTCCATTTGAGGTAGTGTGTGTCAGAGCCACCTGCAGAAAGTTCACAGCAAGCACAATGCCACAAGCCTGCCATCCACACCACTCCTACTAAGCACTGCTCTTTCCTTCTCAGCCACAAACCTCTGCCCTACCAGCTTACCACTGGGCATGAAACAGCAAGTGCCTACCCTGGAGGGCCCCACCTGGGGAGTGCCAGGTAATTAGAAACATGGCTCTGGGCATTGGCCCGAGTGTTCGTGCCCAGCCCTGGTAGCAGCTGACTGCAGGCTGCGATGAGGATGCTGCCTGGCACCCAGCAGACCCTGGCAGCAGGCCCAGGCAGCATGCCTATCAGCCCCAAGGCTAGCACGCCCAGCCCTGGCCTACTGCCCACCCAGAACGCTGGCTCCTAGGACACCCAGGATCTGGGGCAATGGGGCAGCAGGCCTGGGCTATCAGGGCCAGCTTGGCATTCACTTAAGGCTCTGACCCGGCCCCTCCCTGGGACAGAGCTTTCAGGGGTCTGCAGGGAGGGGCAGGAAAGGGAGCAAAGAAATCTCTCCAGTGAGGATCCCTCAGCTCTGGAATTCTCCCAGTAGGTAGACTGGCCCCAGCTGGGAAGGGCAGGAACCCCAGCAGCTGGAGGGAGGGCCAGCTCTCTGGGGAACCCAGAAGGTCTGCAGGAAGGAACACAAAGCCTCGGGGTTACCTTCCCAGGCCCTCTGTTAGAGTAGACACACGGCCCTGTTTATGGAAATCAACACCCACCTGCTCTGCTTTCCTTCCCTCCCAGTCCCTGCCACAAAAAAGCCAGAAAGTCATGTCCCCAACACAGAGGTAGGCCCAGGGCCCAGGCAGGTGCTAGGGGCTGGAACGGCAGAGAAGCTCCAGCTTCTCAGGCTACTGGTGGCACATGCCTGAGCCCTGCAGAGGCAGCCACAGCAGCCTCACCCCGCAGTTCACCCTCAATGAACAGTAAGGAAGGCCCAGTCGGAGCCTATCCACCCCAGTAAGTCCATTTTGTGACAAGAAAAACCTTGGGGGCACACATACCCAACTGCTGAATGACGTCATCTCTGGGAGTGGGATTAAAGAAAAACCATAGTCT